ATTTATATTGAATAATCCCAATACCATTAATTGTAGGTCAGAGTTCTATTCACATTCAATTTCCATGAATACTTCGGAGTCGCGCAAATAAAAATACTTTTTCGAGTGGTTGTATATATTAAATGCATATGAATATATGTGCGTGTTATGTACAACCTAATTCAAACCCGTGACCATAAGGTCTTTGTATTACAATTGTACGGTTATGTACACCTCAATTAATTTTTGCACGGTTATGAACACCTCAATTAAAATTATGCACGGTTATGTACACCTCAATTAAATTATTCACGGTTATATACACCTCAATTAAATTATGTACGGTTATATACACCTCAATTAAATTATGTACGGTTATGTACACCTCAATTAAACTGTTGACGGTTATGTACACCTCAATTAAAAAATTATGTACGGTTATATACACCTCAATCATATTATGTACGGTTATGTACACTTCAATTAAACTATGTACGGTTATGTGCACCTCAAATATATCATGTACGGTTATATACACCTCAATTAAATCATGTACGGTTATATACACCTCAATTAAATTATGTACGGTTATGTACACCTCAATTAAATTATGTAGCCGTAAGCCCGACGAATGCACGTATCATCGACTGCCTACATAGCGAGTCCTGAGTCATTTTGGGGCAAGGTACATACTCTGCTATGCATTTAGAACCACACCCATTGTTCGTTTTCTCCTCAACGCATGACCTGCAAGTTCTTTCTTCCCAAGATACCCAAAACCCTAAACCTTAAACCCAATAGCGGGTTGTCACTTCCATTCTCCGTATAAAATAAGGCACATCGCTGAACAGTTCTACTCTGTTCGGTACTATTTTCAGTATTGACATGGGGCTTATCAGACTATGTGTAGCATGTGTGTGTTAGGAGTACCAGAAGTGCACCTTGGTATTAAGGTGCTACGTATGATTCAATGCTTGCTATGTTTCGTGATACTATTGACATGGGGCTTATCAGACTATGTGTAGCATGTGGGTGCTAGGAGTACCAGAAGAGCACCTTGGTATTAAGGTGCTACGTATGATTCAATGCTTGCTATGTTTCGTGATACTATAGTACCAGAAGAGCACCTTGGTATTAAGGTGCTACGTATGATTCAATGATTGCTATGTTTCGTGATACTATTGGCATGGGGCTTATCAGACTATGTGTAGCATCGGAGTGCTAGAAATACTATTAGTGTGTCTAAGTACAAGAATGCTACAGATGACCTAATACTTACTACGGTTCGCGTTAAACTACTATGTTAATCACATACAGTCTAATAGTCTAGTGTCTTCTTGTTCAATTCTCTAACTTGGAACAATACAGACATACCCCGTTACTCCAGACGCCCAGTGATGCGCACGTGACTGTTGTTCTCACGTACCTACCGGTCCGTTTATATATATCCGCTTTAGAAATGGGAATTTCACTCACGTACGGACCTATTTTTATATTATTCAATTGCAGAAAGAACGAGATAGGCACGTATTCAATTCGCTCGGACGCAAGGAGGGCCCGAGATTCCTCAGTAGAGTCTCGTCTTCTAATCCTCCAGGGTGTGTACCACTATGAACTGTATGCACTGACGTGTGAGTGAGTGCCACTGTAGTCAAAGCAGGCGTGTGGCTGCTTCCAATGGGGCGCGTGCCTGTGTTCTGTGTGGTATTAGAGGGTTATATGAAACACGCGTACGCTCCATGCAAGTGTATATGAGCTACCAGGTCACTCCAGGAGAGGCTGGGCGGCGTGTTCTCTGGCGTGCGTGTTCCAATACTGCTCAGTAATCGAACCCACGAATCAAGCTTTGCCATATCTACAACTAGGCAAGCTAGTGGATACATGCCTGTGTACACGCTTCTGCGGGTCAGTTTAGGCGCTGCTGCTCACAGGCTTAGGCCTGCCGCCCATTCTGACAGCCAGTTGAGGCTGTACCGTGTCAGCTCTGGCTGTGTATATGTTTGCCAACGGCTTGACAAGCTGAGACTGTCTTGGGGACTCTGACCCTATTGTGACTTGCATACTACCCCATCTCGTCCGGTGTATGTGTCTAGAGATGCACTGCGTTATGGGTTCTGGCACTATCAGTACTGATGCTACCACTGCCGATAAAATAGGCCGCATGCTTAGATGTTATGCTCAGTATCGTCGCGTATAAGTACTGATTCGGACATTTTCGGTGTGTCCATGTTTTGCCGTTCAAGTGCTATATCTGTCACCTACTTTTGGTACCTGCTTTGCCATTCAAGTACTCACCTGCCACCTTCTTTTTGTCTATGTTTCGTCATTCAAGTGCTGTATCTGTCACCTTCTTTTTGTCCATGTTTTGCCATTCAAGTGCTACTTCTGTCACCTTCTTTTTGTCTATGTTTCGCCATTCAAGTGCTATATCTGTCACCTATTTTTAGTTCATGTTTCGCCATTGAAGTACTAATTCCGTCACCTACTTTTGTTCCATGTTTTGCCATTCAGGTACTAACCCTGTCAGCTTCTTTTTGTACGTGTTTTGCCATTCAAGTACCAATCCTGTCACCTTTTTGTTCATTTTTTTGCCATTTAAGTACTAATTGTGTCATTTTCTTTTTGTCAATGTTTTGCCATTGAAGTACTAGTCGTGTCTCCTTTTTATCCATGTTTTAGCCATCTAATTGCTAATTCTGTCACCTTCTTTTGACCCCTGTTTTCCAGCTTGTTGTACTAATTCGATCAATTTCGATGTGCACATGTTTGCAGGTTGTTTGACAGTTGGACCTCTTCACTGAGCACTCTGGCGAACACAGTCGTGGCGGTTGGGACGGGAGGGGCACTGGAAGCAGAGCCCAGCGACAGTAGCGGTACGTACATTTAGTTGCTATGCGTATTAGTTATATACTAGTCATACCCCAACCGAAAGCTAATTTGCACTAATTACACACTGATGTCATATTAATTGCGTACCAAACATATACATGCTACAGACTTATTTCTTATTCTTTCGTCGCCGCATGGGTAGACGTGGGTGTGCTTCAGATGTACACACACGGATGGATGCGTATTTGCACACACACACGTCTTCTATCACACTCGCTTGGACATAGCTTCAAACATGTGCGGCATATCTACGTATCAATTCAAGCCGCAAGCTCTACGAGTTTCGTTAACGTCATTAATATAACATCTGCGCCAGCAGAAAGCCTATTGGTTGTAGATCGTACGAATACATTGGTGTAAGGTGGTTATACGTGCACATTGTTTATGGCACCTGGACCGTGAACGGAGTGTGAGTTAGCGAGGTGTACAATAATAGGAAACGTAAACGGTTTTAACCGTTTCCTGTCCAGGCCCGAATCCGAGGGCCGGAGAGAATGGACCGAATTTTGGTACGGCTGGGGGTGGCGGTGGGGACAGTTTACGTAGGGCGTCTGTGGGGGAATACGAAAGCGACAGTGAGCACACGAGTGAATACACTGACGAGGATAGCGTGTTGATGGACGAAGACTATCAGGTGTGTGGGAGTGTGTAAATGGGTATGTATGTGCTTGGACTGTCTCACAGTGTGCTTAGTTTGGTATCAGGTCCATCGCCAGCCTATCTGCCGCTTTTGTACTGCCACTTGGCGTATATTTATATATATATTTTACACACACACACACACACACACACACACACACACACACACACACACACACACATACTATACACACACAC